AGTGCTTGACGAATCACTCACTAATTGCGTTCGTGACATGGCCCAGAGCTAACAAACGGTTTCTTCGCTTGGAATACAATGATTTTTTACCGCCGTTTTATTCGTACGAGCGACTCGCGCGATTCGCACGAGTACGAAGAAAAAAAGTACCACTCTAAATTTGACTGCACAAAATTATTTTCAATAATTCGCTTAATTGAATGCAAAATTTTATCGCAATTAATATATATCGCAATATGTAGATATTAATTGGCATAAAATACATCCAATGTTGGAAATTAAGTACGTCTGATGGGGTTTCGCAATCAATCAAAGTTGCATTTCGAGTGAGACGTTCGATAAACTCTCACCCGTTCATTCTCTTACTCTCACTATTATTCTCTATTGTCCTAATGGTGGATAATCATAAGGCTCTCCTTGAGAGTCTCATTACGAATCAAGGACCCCTTAATGGCTCCTATGAAACTCATTGGCCATTTAACGCCGAGGACACGACGCGACACGCTGGAAGATTGACAGATTCGAGAGCGAATTTTCTTGTCAGTCGTTTCATCTTACGTAATACTCTCGTGGGCGAATTCATATAACAATCGTGGTTAGAGTCTTCATATTTCTACAGAATGAAAGAAATCGAATTTTTCGTCTTGCGCAATTTTGACAATTGCAACGTACATATTATCAATGATAAATTAACACAACGTCATCGTTAATATTTTATTTCGCACACAACACATACACGTGCAACATGTGAAAATTAAATATAAATCTTAATATTATTAATTAATACATGTGACATACACACGCCTCTCCAAAATTAACAAATCTCGTCTACATTGTTATCGACGAAATTAACAAATATTCTTCAAATATTATTGTATAGATATTGCTTCGCGAATAATAGCGACGACGGTAATAATATCGTAGTTTTATTAATACGCGATGCACGCGATACGTGCGTAAGTTTTAACAATGGCAGTCTCTCCATACTTGCGTATACACGGCCGACACCCTTTACACGTTCCCCTTGCGGGAACGCGACGTCTCCATGGTTACAACATTGAAACCCCGCTGAGGGATGACAAAATGGAGAGGCGCAATACTCGGCCCGACAAAAGCGAAGTAGAATCGAAGAACGCCGTCGACTACGTACCCGTATTTGAAAAGTCGATTTCTATATACAAAGTGCTCCACGTAGTCGCACTTCGCGATAATGCACTCGCTGATAATTAAAGTCAACCCTATGGGGATAGTATATAGCACTTTAACGAATCAATTCAAGTGCGAATTTCGCCGAACTGACTTTTTTCCAGAGAGATGTCGATTTCGACGATCATCAATTTATTTTTTTTTTAATCTTTATGAACATATATTATAAGTGTATTAGAATAACGTATATTATAAGTGTATTAGAATTTTTGATAATGAGAATATTAAGCAAATGTCATCGAAATAAGCTTGAACGTCATAGAAAATACAATTCATTATTCTTTTGCCAAAAAATTATACCTTTAAACAACATCTCTAGTATTCAGAGATTTCATCGTTTTACTATGTGAAATAATAACGATCATTTTCCTCACGAATCAAAATTCAATTCATTGATATTAACAATTTAACGTCAAAATATGAAAGAACATGAGATAAATATAGTTAATATCGCACGACGTCGCAATGAGATACGTGATCTGATACAATTAGAGATTGCGAGGTATTCTCATTTTCTCACGCCTTGCATTTCCAGAGTTGTTCTCGCGAACGACGGGAGGGAACGAGGAATACATTTGCGGCGCAATCGTATTTCGTTGTCGACAACGCGAGCCAGGTGAAGATCACATCGTGATTCACGCGGTCTCCCGATGGTACCCGCATTGACACTATCTGTCATCGGAGATGCTTCAAATCACGACTATGGTCGCACGAAACGCGGAACGTCACGTTCCTCAACGTCCACCCCGACCGGAACAATCCGAACGATCGTATCTTCACGCTGCACACGATCGTTCCTCGACGATCGATGAGATATCGCAAAAATATTCTGTCATGCTTCCGCAATGGACGAATCGCGACCTCATGATAATCTAACTCCCTTTTAACTTACGTCGTGTAAGAAAATTCCCTGCTTGGGAATTATTCTATTAAATTACAATTTCTATATTCACTTTCTATATTCTTTCTATAAGATTATCTGCATTATTAGCCGCGATTATAATTATTATCTTTTAAGAGCCTTACAGTAGTTAGCAGATAAATCCAAAAAGCCATCGAATGATGACGCAGCAGTTAGAGTTCAAATTATCGAACACTGTTCACCGACAACATGGATATTATATTCATTATCACATGCTTTTGACAGTCCCAGCTTAACAAGGTGACAATCTGAAGGCATGAAAAACCTACGCAGTGGCTGTAAACAAAGGAAGATCGCCGGAGAAAATGGCTCTCCATAGTACATAGGAGCGTCTAATCCCGGATGAGACGACGGATGTACGACGACGACGACGACGACGACGGCGTCGGCGGCGTCGGCGGTGGCAGCGGCGACAGAGACAGAGGAGGTGGGTGCGGGAGACGGCGCAGACACATCTCTCGGATTACGTCTTAACAAGCTCCACGACGTTCATTTGTCTTATCCGCTGCCGCTAATGCGACAGCAGCTGCTGAAATGATTAATTCGGCGCGCAAGGATGCCGCGTAGCGTCGTCGAGCGAATCCGTTCTCTCGGCTTCACCGTCGCAGACGTGTCGCGGTTAATCAGCGCATTGCGGTTAATCACCGCCGCCATCCGTAGTAGATACAAAACCGAACGAACGAATAACTTCGGCGGATGTAAACAAGTTCCACCGAACGAAGGTGGAAGGTGGAATTCGACGCTATCGGATCCAAAGCGGAATAGAGAATTTGTCATCCGTAATTCGGTGTAGCTATAATTTACTTGTTAAATTATAGTTTGTAGGTAATCTTACGTCCGTTATATTGTCAACTTGCACATTACTATTTGGTTTAGATCAACTTTACGAAGAGCTCTTTATCTTCAATCGCTTATATCTCGAGAGCTATCGATATTTCGACATTTTTGCAAAGGAAAGCTTGACTCAAAAGACTGATTCGGTTGATTTGGGACACTTGCGCATAAGACGTAACTGATCGACTTCAGAGCAAAAATGAAACTTGGTTTGTTACGCGTGCTTTGAGCGAGCTACAAAAGCTCGATTGAGCTCAATCTAATCTTCACCGATGATAACCTCGTGACAATAATGTAACTGTGATTAGATTTAACGGGTTAGGTGTTCGACCACATGATCGCTCATTGTCTGTAGGGCTCCTAGGTAGAGAAACCCTACATCCGCCGTGCCCATACTCTGTCCAAACAAAGTCCGCTCGTTGCGTCCGCACGCGCGCGCGCGCGATCCGATTGGATTAATTTTCAATTTGCAAGGGCCACCTGTCGTCGACAGCGACGGATAGGCGGATCGTCGATCGCGCCCGCCGATCGATGACTAACCCGTGAGACTGCGAGCGTCCGCGCGACTCGGTCCGACTGCGCCGGAGCGAACTCCTCGATTAGGGTTGCGTTTATGAGAACAAAGAAGCGCGACGCGACAATTGCGCCTCGTCGCGTGGATATAGGGTTAAAGGCGCGCGGATAAAATGAGCGGCGAATATTAAGTCGGCACGCAAAATGGCCGACACAGCGCGCGGTAGCCGGGTGAGAAAAAATAGGGACGCGCTCGTTTCTCTCTCTCTCTCTTTCTCCTTTTCACGCAACGAACGAAGATGAGCGTGACGACCGTTCGCTCCGCTCCACACCGCTCCGCACCGCGTTACGACGTGACGCGGGTCGAAATTCTGCCGGATCGGGACCGCATGCGCGACGCGCGCCGATCGAAAGCCCCGCCCGGAGACTGCCTTTGTTTAATCCATGGGTATCTACGCCCACGATGACAGTGGTGTAACTCGAGGTTCTGTAGACCTCGTGAGCCTATAGGAAAGTCACCATAAAGGGAAAACGGAAAAGTAGAAAAGTATAAATAAAAAATACGTAAAAATAAGAAAATGAGGCCTTTGAAAGTGTTGAATAGAAAAGTTTCTTTGTTACCTATTTTCTTTTTATCACGGCATCTGATTACATGATTTTATGTAATTTCTTGTATTGTTTATACATATATGTAGTGGCACATTACATCTCTGAGATTATCAAATATACAAAGGCGAGATAAAAAGTATAGTTCAAAACAACTAAATTTCCTTTGCTATGGGCTTTCTAAGTGTTGGTTACCTCACCGTTCACGATGTGCGACCAATAAGTGTCAACCACATAATCCTGAATTTTCGATCGCTTCTAACCTTGGGCTAGACGAGAAATGTAAGATTATTCTTTTTTTTTTTGCATAATGACCGATTTCTTACAAACCGACTATGAAATTATTTGTCGCACTGCAAGTTTCGCGAACTTTGCAAATGAGATTGAAAGAAGAATGAAGTAAGTCTATAATTCACGAATCTACAAATATCAGAAACGATTATATATATAAAACATAGTTTACGAATTGCAAATTTATCTCATTATTCCATTGAATTATTGAATAAAATATGAAGAAGGGCGAATGTAGGAAAATTGATTTGTGGCCCTGCGCAACCACGAGCGGTAGCGTGGCCGAGCGGTCTAAGGCGCTGGTTTAAGGCACCAGTCTCTTCGGAGGCGTGGGTTCGAATCCCACCGCTGCCAATTTTTTGCACGAATCGAATAAATACTTTTTTTTACGCGATAAAAGATGATGATCGTCTTATTAAAAGATCATCAGTGCAACATTTTTTTATAAGCTATTAACAGCTTTGTAAGAATTTATCCGTTGTAGATAAACCTTCATATCACTCAATGCAACACGACTGTGTCGATAAGACAGAATGCGACAATCTATAAAATATTGAACTAATTTTTTAATACTTATTTTGTAGTTACAACAACGAGGTGAAACACGTATTGACTGCGAAAGTGCCAGTTACGTTCACACTAAAAATATAATTTTATTACTAGAACTATAAGTCAAGAGATGCATAGAAATATTTTACAAATTTTTAATTTTTTGTTATAAATATAGATAACAAATTGGGGAAATACACACACATTGAAACAAAACGGCTTTGAACAACAAGATCTTTTAGCAAGAATTTGGAAAATCAAAACTGCGTGAAACTGCAGAGCCTACATTTCAAACGTTGATAAGATACAGACAAATCTTAATCTGAAATTTCATCCGCGGAAGAGGAGATTATGTAGTTCTGGAAGTATGTGAGTCACAGACATTGGAATACACGCTTCACAATCAAAAAGATAAATATAGTTACGCTATTGTATGTCACGTCGACGAGTTGAAGTGAGATAGCGCGTGTACAGTTCAACAGCAGTCCACAGTTCAACAGCAGTCGGCTGCCAATTTAAACTTTCCACGACACACTACGCATGACGATCATCTGTAAAGGAGAAGGAACTGTTGGCCGTGTATGTGTAACCGAAATTAGGCAAGCGAATAATGGTTCGTAATCGACAAAACGTTTTCCGAGAATGGAATTTCTGAATAATACTTTTGGACTCTGCATTGCATCACTTAATAATATGTGACTAATTTCCTTCTTCTGTTGCACGAATTACGTATTATATCTTTCGATATACGATAAAAGAAGCAAATGATTTTTGTAGTCTCATTGATTCATATGTTCTTGAAATAGAAAGTAAATTTCTAATTTCAATTCTTGAAATAGTAAATTTATATAATGTATTGAAATAATCTCTCTCTCACAATTTAGAACTATAAAATATTGCCGGTGCAAAAATATTAGCAGAGTAAAATTTTGAAGAAAATTTCACATGTACATTTCAGCTTTTTTTTAATTTTTATATACTTCTATATTCTTCTCCATTCTTTCTTTCAGGAATTAATTCATCACTATCAAAACTTATCATCAGATGGATCTACAGATGTCAAAATATCATGTTTGCGAAGGAAAATGCGCCTGTGGAAGAAATTCGTAAATATGTCCTGAGACACATCGATAAAATTATTTTCAAAGTGATACGCATCTTTCCGAGAACAGATTCAGCAAGAAGATACTTAGTCGCAATGGTCTCTGCTCTCATACGATTGAGAAGTCCAATCAATAATACCCACTCCACTACCAGACAGCGATAACGCTTAAATCCATGCCAGTGAACCGCTAGATATCGATCTTCAACGTGATTCGTTGCGTCATTCTGAGCGTAACTTGGTTAAAGCTGTGTGTTGAAAGCATCTAGTCCGATTCCGTCATTATCAGTGTCGTACTATCGTATTTCATGAGCAGTCAATATCCATATTTCATCGTCAGTATTGTAGTTTCTAAAAAAAATTAAAAATTAGAAAAACTGTGTCGCGAAATATCGAAGATACAGCGTGTTTCAATTAAAGAAACTATCAGGTCCAACAACTGATATACTGTTTCTTCCATAAATCGCCAAATTGCAAGCCGATTTTGTGAGGTGATACTGTGTATAACTACATTTTATTTCAAAAAGAATACGAGACTTTCACGAAATACAAAACGCGCGGGACGTCACGACCCGTGGGGCGCGATATCACGCACTCTCTCTTTCTCTGTTTCACACACATAACGAAACGCACGTGTCGCCGACGTGCGTACACACAAGCGTTCGAGCACTTTAGCTTGCTGTTTGTACAGAAGACATTTTGAGTGTCATCACAAGAAGTGAAACAGGTTCCCGACAGGATTTTTGTTTAACGCAGTTACATCGGTGTACCGGACTTCGATCGGGTCACGATTTCTCGATCGTGCGATCATCATGGACGACAAGATTGTGCGCCCATCTATATTCGAAACAATTCAGCTGCACTTCTTGTCCTTTGCCTACGGCCTTTACTTGATCGCTAAGCGACTACTCAAATGGGCATGGGATCCCAAGAAGTTCTTCGTGCTGCGACAACGGGATCGACCGCCAACGTGTCTAATCGACAACAGCCTCGGAACGCATTCCTACGTGAAAGTCAAGGTAAGAAAATTACACTGCAGACGTATCGATCTTGCGATGTACTCATGCGAGCAGTATCCGTCATCTTCGGGTGGCATGAGTAAATATTAACGCGAGATATGAGTTAAATGTATTTCTTTGTGACCTTAACGATAACTCGCGATGGCACAACAGGTTCAACAGGCTGCACTCGAAACACAAGCTCGCGTGTCTGTGGTAATTTCAAAATCACTTCCACAGAACACTCGTAGTGATATTAAGCTTTTTATCTGATATAAGCGGAGGATTTTATCTGTAAGAATTATTTTCAACGCAGTTTATATTTTAAAGAAATTGTAGACTCCTCATTCTTGCAGTGAAGCCTTCGAGTCTTTTTTGACAGTTACGCAATGTAAGCCAAATTATTCACACTTGTGTCATCTCAGAATAACGTTCGTTGTAACAATATAAATCAAAACTAATTGAGACCTATCACGTTCTGACAGAGAATCATAGCGCCGGCCTCATGTCGTGATATCGGGATATCACGAGCACAGATGACACTCGCGAAGTCAAAAGAATAAAACGTTGCACACGATTCATGATTTACAACATCTCGACCGAGGAACGGCCTTTTGCGATAAACGACTATATTTAACTGATTTTTGTTTCTTTTTTTGTAATGCAATTCGACATGAACTTCTGATATTAATTATCACAGCAGATCTGAGTGATAGAAATTTGATGTACATTGCTATGTTTCACAATACATATTACGTATAGTATAGTTAACAAATAGCTTTCTTATAATAATAATTAGATATCTATATTATTATAACATGCGCAAATTTTCCATTAGTTTTGTCAAGTGAATTTCCCTCTGCGTTGGTTTTCAAACGACAAGTGCAATCAAATTGAGAAGTACTAACTATGAAATGAATAATTATAAAGTCATTGTGTGCCTTTTATTCACAAATTTAAAAAATGCGATGATATCGAATTGTTTAGTCTATAAAGGAGAAGCTTTCAATAAAAAAAAATCATAAAGACTATATTGTCAGGAAAAATTGAGTCACAGCACTAAAGGTTGTTATATTTTATGTGCATTTATATGAGCGTCTGATTTAATTTACGGTGTCACATGACATTATAATATTTATCATAATTGCAACGATATCGTGCGTATTAAACAGTGTATATTCGTAAAATAAACAGCGATAATAAAGTACAACAATAAATTTCGTAAAATGATAGAATATCCTACAAGAACAAAAATTATAAATTTCTAGATTCATTTTCTGTTTACTATGAATCAATTAGTACTAAAGAAGAAAGTATTAAAATTAATTAAATATTGCATACAAAATGAAAATAGATGAGATACACATGTATCTACGCATATCTGTCATTTATATAGCTTGCTTTTCATTTCTTTTTATTTCAGGGCGTTAAATTTCACTACGTAGAAGCGGGATCTAAAGATAAATCGCTGTTGTTATTGTTACATGGATTCCCAGATTGCTGGTTATCCTGGCGCGAACAAATCCAGCATTTCGCGGAACATTACAGGTTTTTTTACAATATATTATATACTTCGATGTATCGATTATAAATAAAAGATCGTTATCGATTATAATATATATTTCGTGCTGTTTCAGGGTAGTGGCTTTGGATTTAAAGGGATTCGGCGATAGTGACAAGCCATTCAACAGGCGATTTTATAAGGTGGAAATCATATTAGACGAATTGAAAGAATTCATTTTAGCTCTCGGAGTGAAAACGTGTAGTATAATCGGCCATGATCTAGGAGGGCTTTTGGGATGGTATATGGTTGCTCTGCATGGAGATCTTGTTTACAAATTTGTGGCTATTTCGAGTCCGCATCCTAATCTCTATTGGAACAGAGTATCAGGAAATTCTACGTTAGATAGAAAGTGAATATATTTACGAATATTTCCGAGATTATATATTTAATGCGTAAATTTAAACTTCCTAAAAGATATCTTCTTAAATATTACAATTACACACTTTATAATCGTCCGAACAATTTGTCATTTTAGATGGATACATTTTAGTAGATTGCCCTTTCTACCAGAAATAGACGCACTTAAGGAAGATTTATCTATAATCAATGATACATTTCAACATCTTCAGATATCTCAGAATGAACCCGGAAAAAATTATGTTGAAGCATATAAATACACCTTTAGTAGAACAGGTGAATTAATCTTCATATAACATTATCATTCTTTTTCCATTGCTTTTATGCATATAAAAAATGAGAACCATATTTTATAGAGGACTGGACAGGACCAATTAATTATTATCGCAATTTCCCATTCATAAAATTAAATATACTCAAACAGATTGACAACAAGACGTTACTGATTGTGGGAAATATGGATCCCTTTGTAAAAATAGAAACTATTATTCAAAGTTCCGAATACATAGAGACGTCGAACGTCAAAGTTATACCGAATGCACAGCATTTTCCGCATCAGGAGAAACCGGATGCTGTAAATAAGGCAATTATCAAATTCTTGATAGGTAAGTTTTATTTTACCCATTTTTCTCGTATAAAGCACTTTTTTATATAAAAGTTACTAGTCATTCATCGAGCACAGTATACTTTTGTAACAATATAACTTATATCTTATGCATATAATTAAAAAAATATTATTTCAGGCACAGCGTGTACTGTGGAGAAGACACCTTCAAAAAGTATTGTGTCCTCTTGGTTGGGATCTTTAAGTAGCACTGTTAAGTATGGAAATCAGATGTTCGATGCTGTACATAAACGAACTAACGGTGTGGTGAGTGTATTACCCAACAAAAATATTTTATTCGGCTCCAAAAAGTTAGACGTTGTTATCTAATATCAGCGTTATGTATTGTCAGACTTTGCGTCTTGTTTCGAACAATCTCAATATTCTATCTTCTAACGCTGACGCATAAAACTTGCGAAAAGCTCATTTGAACTTATTTATTATAGTGTTTTTCCTTTTTATATAAATATGTTATAACTGGAGAGTAGTAAACTTTTCTTAAATTTTCAATGTATTGCAAAGTTTAAAGATTTCTATTACATTCATTTTCACGCACAAACGATATTATATTGTCTTTGAATTTTTGTATATATTTGGGTTGAGATCTGTATAAGTGTAATGAAATGTGTGAATTTATCGCCATTACACATAGCTATTACTTAGAAGCGTGAAAACTCTCGAAAACTTAGCAATATTAAGTTATATTCCGTTATTTTTACTTTTAGTGAAATACTGATAAGATAACCTATTATTATATGTGATATAATAAGCCAATATTTCTCGTTTCTATTAATTTATAACTTACAAAATATGCTATGAAAGGTAGAAGTGTATTACTATAACATATATAACATAACTCTTTGTATATGTTACAATAATAATTGTACATTAATTATAGACATTGCAGCATAAATAAACCGCTGCATCTTTGAATCTCAAGTAGACACTGTATATGTTGCTACTATTGCGAGCATAGTGTTTGTAATTATTTTGAATTAAGAGGTAATATTGTTAAGTATTTGCGAAAATATTATATTCTAATCTGATTAAATCTCGAAAATATTACATTTTTAGCGCAATGTAGACGCAAATATATGATGTTTGTAAAACTTTTAAATTTTACAAAATTTTAATACTATAACGATATTTATACTGTTATTGTGTGTATATGTGTGTGTGTGTGGCTGTGTGCAATAACAGTATAAATTACGTGCGAAAGTATATATAAAAGTTTTCTTTCTCTTTAAACGCAATGTTTCATTACGCTGTAATGAAGAAAAATGTGATAGACTATTATCAATCTTTTCCATAGACAAGGTATTAGACTCGATAGTTTGATAACACAGCTAAGTAGATAAAATTGAGCTTTAAAACTCATTCCAATATTTGATATCATAATATCATTTTTTAGTATTCGAATTACAATGGCAAAAGGTATTATATACCATTCATTATCCATCTTGTACATCACGTTGATGTACGTTCTTTACCTTTCCTCCTGTAAAATATAATATTTATTAGATATATATATATATATATATATATATATATATATATATATA